TAAATTCATATTTGAAAAGTTTTATATATAAGTTAGTTTTTTATAGTTTTTATAAAATACAGCAGATATATTTTAAATATTTTAAATAAATACAGCTATAAATTAGAATATTATTAAAGTATACTGTATAGAAGATATCTAAATAGTTTTTTAAAATATTATTAATATAATATTAAAATATAACAGAGGCTTTTATAAGTCTAAATAGTATTATTGAAATTTTTTAAAGTTCTAAATAGATTTTAAAAACAGTTAGGTACTTTTAGTTTTTTTAATTTTAATATTATTAAAAGTACTAATAATATTAATCTTTAAAAAATATTATATTTTTTTAAAATTATTTAAAACTTTTTTATAAGCAGCAGTAGATATTGGTTTTTAATAGATATAATATTTAAAATATAGTAGTTAATATAGAACTGTAATTTCTTTTCTAGCCTTTTAATAAATAGTATTAAAAAGACAACTAATAATAAGCTAAAGCAGATAAAGCCTTTTTTAAATTTTTTAAAAACTACTTTTTTAGAATTTATAATTTATTTTAAAATATTCTGTATAAAAGGCCAAACAGTAGGGACTTTTTATTGTTTAAAATAATAATATAGTTATATTTTTATATAGGGGTAGTTTCTCGGCTTTTTTTAGAAAAAAATATCTTTAAAGTCTTTAAACTTTTCTGGTAGAGTAGGTTCTTTTATTTTAATAATATTTTTTAATACTTTATTAATTTAATTTATTATAATTATATATATAGAGTATTTACAGCAGGTATATATAATATAAACTACTAAAAAATAAATTAAATATTTTTTTTAAAAATTTTTAGTAGTAAAATATTTTTAAAGTAGGCTTTTATAGATATATTATATAAAGTACAGATTCTTATTACTATTAACAGTATATTATAATACTTTTAGTAATATTAGTTTATAAACTAGAGTATATATTTAGCTTATTTTATTCTAGGATTATAGATCTTTAACTAAAAAAGCCTAATAATAATTAGATAAAATATAAATTAGATAATTAAAAAAAAATATTTTTTTAATATAATTTTATATTTTTAGAATTATATAAGTATAGTAGGTAATACAGCCTAATGTTTTATATTACTTATAAAATCCTACTATAATTTTTTAAATTTTTAAAAAGTATAGTAGTAGCTGGTGGGCCTCAGCCCAGCTTTTATTTATTATTTTAAATATAAAGTATTTAATATTAATTATAGTATAAATTAGGATCTTTAGGTTTTAGAAATTTAATATAATAAAAATAACTATTAAGTTGGTTTTTTAAGGTTTTTTTAATAGAAATTCCTCTAACTAAAGTTTTAGAGATAGTATATAATTATACTGGAATTTCAGCCTGTTAGTAGTTTAAAACAGGCTTAATTTTTTTAGCTACTTATTAAAATCTAAAAAATATAGATACTTAGGCTGAAACTATTAATAGGATTATAGTATTTATAAAACTTATAAATAAGTTAGTTTACTAAATATAGCCTTAATTATACAGTAGAAAGACAAGTGGTATCTAAAGGGCAAGTAGATATAAGATTTAAAAAATAAAAATTATATAAATACTTTATATAAGATTTTAGTATTAGATTTAAAGTAGTTTTTAATATTGTAATAATCTAATTTATAATAGAAATATTTATTATTTTTATAGTAAAAGATTTTTAAATATAAAAACTACTAGTATATAGTAGATAGATCTATAAAATTATATTTAAAAGTAATAAATTATTTTTAGTAGTTATTACTTTAGGATTTATACTAGTCTTTTTATAAAATATAGTACTGGATTAACAGAGGATTTTTAAAGGCAGTTGCAGATTTTAAAATTATACTATAAATAGTAGTTATTTAAAGTCTAAAGAAAATAGACTAGATTATAGTAATTTTTTTAGTAGAATATTAGTTAAAAGTATATTCTTAAGATCTTAGCTAATATTATTTTTTAATATAAAAAGTAAAGTATTTAGATATATATAGACTTTTTAGTAAAATATTTAAATTTAGTAAAAAATACTATAAAATTATAATTTTTTTATCTTAAATAGTATAATTTATTCTGGGTAGTATAAGTGCGGTCTGGATTACTAAATAAATATTTAAATAATAATAAAATATTAGTAAGATTATTTAAAATACAGTTTTCTTTTTAATATAAGACTGTATTTAGATATACAGAACTTTTTTTAAACAGCTAAAAATATATAATTTTTATACTATAATAGTAGTATAATAATTAGTATTAATATTTATTTTTTTAATCTAAAAGATAAATTAGTAGAGGTTGGATTAGTTGCCTTTAAACTTATTAAAATTAAATAAATATTTAAAAAAAACAAAGGAAGAAGATTTAAAAGTAATTAATATAATTACTTTTATTCAAGCAGCTATAGATTTTTTAGTAATAAGACTAGATTTTAGATTCTGTACTAAAATAGTTATTATAAAAGTAGCAATCTAAACAGCTTTATTATATTTATTTTAAATTTAATTTTTTTAAACAAATAATCTTTTAAGCAGTGTTTATTTCTATAAATCAGTAATTTAATTTACTTTTTTTTAGATTTAGTCTATTTAATATAATAGCAGAGTATTTTTTTATAGCTATAATATACTATACTTTATTACAGACTGTCTTTATATTTATAGTATATTAGTATATTTTATTATAATAGTTATACTACTATTCCAGATATTTACTAATATACTGGGCGAATTTTTTTAAAGGTGTTTAGTATTACTAAAGACTATAAATTTACTGGTATTTCATTAGACTGCTATTTCTAAAAAAAAAAGCTATATTATAAGGACTAGAGGGTGAAATAGTGTAGTGAACGAATAGCTTATCGCGATAGTCAAAGATGGTAGTGTTATGCCTTAAGGTGTTGTTGCTGATCTGCCTAACTTCGCGGGACTACCGCTGCCTTGGGTGGTTCCGCGGCCGCCTCGCTTAGCCGTCACGTGGCTGGTGCCTTAGGCCTTCTTTTATATACATTCCTTCGCGATTGATATCGCGAAGGTTGGAAGGGCTTGCGGGCCCTTACATATATAGTATTAAAATACAGGCTGGCTAAATAGTAAAAATAGTAAAGCAGACTAAAAAACTTTTAATAATTTATTTTTTTTATTTTTAACTAGCTATTTAGATTATGCTATTTTTAGGTTTATAAATAAAATATAGCTTAAAAAGCTACAAACAGAATTAAAAACAGATAGAAGATTAAGCAGATTAGGGGTTATATAGTAAAGTAGTTAAAAGCAGCAGATTATTAGATAAAATAAATAAAATAAATAAAATAAATAAAATAAATAAAATAAATAAAATAAATATAATAAATAAAACAGATATAATAGATAGGACAGATATAGCAGGTAAAATAGGTAAAGCAGGTTAAATAGGTGCGCTAGGTCTGCACTGTGATATATATTTATCTATTTATTTTATAAACTACAGCTACTTAATATTACTTGCTTTAAACTATTAAAAAAATTATATAGCCAGTATATATTTAAAATTATTTATTATAAAAAAAATTATTTACTAAGCTTAATTTTTTATAGTTATATTACAGTATCTATTCTAGGGCCTTTTTAATATTAATATACTTAGTAGATTCTGTACTACTGGCTTTATTTTTTTAATTTTTAAAAAGTACTTTTAATACTATAAATTTAATTAAAAATACTAACTCTACTAATATTTTTATATTTTAATTAGTTTTTCTATTTTAGAAAAACGCCTGTAAATTTATATAAATTTAAAAAATAAAGATAAGAAATATAAGAACTTATAAATTAAAACCTAATATTAATAGTTTTATATAAAGTTATTAAAAAGATAATTAAAGCTGCAGAACAGTTTATATAAAATATATTGTTTCCTTATAATAATAAATTAAACAGTTTTAATCTATATAAGTAAGTAAAAAAAGAAAAAGGCCTTATATTATTATACATAATAAAAAAATACTTTAATAGGCTAAAAAAGCTTTAATATAGTTTAAATATAAAAAAATAAAGTAATTTAGACTATAGTACTAAGGCCGGCCAGGGCATACCAGCCAGCCTGCTGCAGTATATATAAAAATAAACAATATAATTATTTAAAATACCCTTATAAAAATAATAAAAATTAATATATATAGTCTTTTTTTAGTAATTAAATAGTTTTAGAAAGCGGCCAGCAGGGCAGTCAGTAAGGCAGCAGCAGACCACCGCCGGCTTAGTGTTGCGCCGGCTCGGTGTCCGATTATATTAATATATACTGATTATATATACATATCCCCAACAGTTATGTGAGGGCGCAGCCAGGAGCGTGGCTAACACCTGTTTATACTACTACTTTTGGCTACTGCAAAAAGGCATTTGTTTTCTATACAATTTCACCCCACCAGTCCTTATCAAACTATAACATATATACATATAAGAATATAGAAATAATTAATACAGTAAGTTAGTAATCCAGTAGTTAAAGATAAAAAGAATTTAAAAATTAGAAAAAACAGCACATCTGCAGAGATAAAAATACTCTAAACTGGTTGAAATAATAATATACTACCAGATACTATAAATTAGTTAGATATAATAAAAATAAGATTATATCAATTACTATAACAAAGTTGTTAGAAAGAGAGTTGAGGAAGGCAAGACCTGCCAAGAAATACCTGCAAGGCGGAAACAAAGGGCAGGCTATCAAGTATGCCGAAAACTACTACATGTTGAGTGTTAATACCTTGTATATGTTTTTGAAGAATTCAGCAGTTTATTACAGTATTTATTTTAGTAGTTTCAATCATAGTTTATACTACTTTTATCATAATCTTTAGGGCCTATAAACCTTTGTAATATCAAATGTTTTATCATAGTATAGGATAATTTAGCCCACTTTTACAGTCGTATTGTTCTATTGAGTTGTAATATATATAATGTATTTATTAGAGATAAAGAAGACCTTAGTAAAAATAGTATACTATATCATAATACCATCTAATGAACAATCTACTTCGGTACTTGACAACTCGATTCTCTCTCTACATATATTGTGCTGACTTACTGATTGTGCTACTTGTGCTCTATCTACCCATACGCTTACTGCGCTACCTGAATATCTACCCAAGATGTGGGGAAGCAGGGCCATTGGGTTGTTCCCCTATGTCCGCACACCTAACATCTTCAACTCCTGGATTATCACACAGTCTAGTTCGATTAATGTCTCATCGACGACAATATTACAAAAAATTGATTAGGCCTGACCACTAAAGTACTACTCCACATTCGACATGTCCTTGACCACACTAATATGACTACGAGGTACTCCTTCCACTCGAAGGCATAAGGACCTATGATTTCATGACCCCCAACGATTCGGAGCTATATCGACTATTGCATTCCAACAACGTTGTAACCATGCCTCAGCAACCCTCGGCGTCTCAGAGGAAACCCAGGAGATTTCAACCCGAGCTTGTCGAAACCTCATCACGCAGCTCCAGGGAAGTTCGAACAAAAAGCCAACCTACACAAGCCCAACTAGATGGCCGGAGGTGCTCAGATGGTCAGTACATGAAGCAGGTATCCAGGGAGGACCCTATGGTATTCTATGACGACAGAGAAGGACAAGATGCCGAACCCATTGATGCTATGCAAACGACCATGTGCGCAGGAAGCGAACGAGCAGCGGGGCCACATAAACCGACCGAGCAAAGATTAAAAGTTACGGCCAGAGTCGGCAGGCACTCTTCAATCGGGCCTACGGAAATAGAACCTGATAGATTTGACGCCGCGAAACATATAAGGCTTAGGAAATTCGCACCACAGCTCATGGAAACAGGCACAAGATCTTTCCGCCGAATGAATACATCTCATACCACCCTTCAGGAAGGACGCAACGCATTGGTAATGGGAGAAATTCCAACCACTGTCACCGCGGTCAATGATGCACATACTCACAGGCACGTGGCCCATGAATCTCGTTTTTCGTACATGAATCTGCGCCGGCGGCAAGAGACGAGGAGGCACTCGTTCCGAATCCCTGACCTTCCTGCAATTCCTTCTACTTGTAGCGAGACATCCGATACGTCTGATAATCCGTCGGCATCTGCATCGCCTGGTAGAATGGAGCAGGACACCTGTGCCGATATTAAAACACGAGGGAGCTCCGAAGACGAAAATACAGAATACCTTTCCGCTCTCGCAGCTATCACAGTAGAGAAACAGCTTAAAGAACAAGCCCTGGCAGCTTTTCCGAACGAACAAGATCATCAGCCCGTCGATCACTTTGCTATTGACCGAGAAGAGGAAGAGTTCATGAATAATGAACGACCGACCTCTCACGTGGAAATTCCCCCCAAATACATCCATCGACGAACATCATCGGCAGATCTTTCATGGGAGCTGGACTATATGCGCAGACATAAAGAAGAAGCTGAGATGAGTGATCGTGCAATGGCTCGAACCAGAGGTCCACCATTCTTATCACCGAATGAATTTACCTCGCTTGGATCCAGGAGGCCAGCGAGACACCATGATAATCGAGTTAGGGGTCGTGATCCTGAACCAACCAAAAACAATGCTACCCCGCCGATGCTCGGAGAGGATCTCATCTTCCCTCAAAGCCTGTCTCCCGAGTCAACAGTATGCGAGGGTAGCAATATTCAACACAACGTCACGCGCAATAGACTTTGTGTATTCTCTGGACTTTGGTATGGGGGTCCTCATGTCAATGATAGGTCCAACAATGGCGGTCTTTGGAAAGGTACCTGCAAAACTTCAAGTTCGCAAGAAAGACAATCACCGCGGTGTTCAATTGCAGCCCCCATTGCACAGACATACACATCTTTCACCCTTCAGCCGACCGATGCAAGTCGCCCAACAGATAAGAATCAATTCCTCGAACCCAGTCCATGGATCCTGCCTACGACTCACTATAATCTACAACAAGACTTCCATGACGAGTCTCTCGGACTGGAATTGCAAGACGGTTTAGTTACTCAGATATACAATTATCTTTCGCTTGGTTATCCCTGCGTTGCCCGATATTTTGACCACGAACTCAGCAGGATCTCTGGTATATCGGTGGCAAATTTAAGGCAGGATGATTTGAAAACAGATGCGAAGGGCCACGTCGGTGTTTCGGACAGTCCTTCGATAGGGGAAGACATCTCAACACGCGCCTGCATGCGCTGGAAGGCTCTACAACTGTACATATTCGATTGGGCACGCGAGCGGCATCGCGTCGGATTTAGTGACATGGATGGAGAACATGGAGCATGGGGCGTATGTGAACGCAAAGGAAGTTGGGCTGTTTGAAATAATGCAGCAAATTTAGCCTAGCGCTCGCTGACCCGGTACACATGACGCAGTCTTGAGCTTTCCGCTTAGGTGACGGGACACGAACTGAGCTCAAGCTGATTTCCTGAATATGGTTGGTTGTGGATTACCTTGTTCAATTTGCGCCGCATTCACGGGCTTTGGGACACGCGATCACTTGAAGCTTCATACCCATGCAAAAGATGGGTAGAAGGAATTATATTTTCTATAAGGTAGGGCCGGACTTCTATTGGTGGTTCCCATCTAGCCCATCAGACCGTGGCTCGGATGAGCGAGGACTACGGTACCTATGATGCGACACTTTCATATAGAACTTATTTTCCGTCTGCGAATGGTCCTGAAAGTCTTCTTGGCTCAAAATAAAAGTTTTATTGTCTGCAAAGTATGGTGGTCGAGCCATGCCGTAGCGTAGAATGACCATTGTCGACAACTTTCTTGTTAATATTCATTGAGCCGTGTCTAGAGGTGGGTGTTAACATGCTACCATACTTCTGCTCGTTGAAGTTATAGTTTACCTTGTGCTGGACTAATGTCACTTTCAGTAAGTTTGGTGGGAGGCGCGATGTTTGATCTAGGCGTTGCTTCATCAGCCGATCTGAGGCAATAACTATCGATTCTAGAAGAGTTAGTGAAAATTCATGTATAGAAGATGGCGAGGAATAGGCCACATAAACAAAACCTACAGTGCAAGTTCTCCAAGCAATGTTTCATGTCTAAATTGTCCCCGGATGTCAGGAACATTGCTCTTGGCGACATTGTTTCCCATGACCCCTGGTGCGGAGCAGTTGCTGCCGAGCCATCTCTTCTTCAAAGACAGTTCGAACCCACTTTGCTCGACAGAATTCTTCGCAAGCTCACACATATCGACAGCACTGAATTTATATATCTGCGCGGCTACTGAGTATTCTTCAATCAGTGGTTCCTTGGTGAAAGCAAACTGCAGGGGGTCATCAGTAGACAACGAGACATTGAGACCCCTTTTGAAGAAATTGGCGCACGGGTTTTTATCGTATGTGAGAAACAGTGCGTTGTTACTGAGAGGTGACATGGCAATCCCTATCTGATCGAGGTAGAAGAGATACTGAAGCAGAGGGACTTTCCTTAAGAGTATTCCATGACTAATACTATGGCAGCAGAGAAATCCGACAGCAAGATGATCCGGATCTCCCGCTTCACCACAGTGTGGCCTCAACACAAATGTGTTATAACCGAGCCGCTTGCGCCAAGTATTCAGAGACGCGATGTTGGCAAACATAAAGTAAATCCAGTAGCTGTATGGTGGATTCTGCTTCGTGTTCCACTCTCTCGGGATGGGATACTTTCGATATAGCCGTCGCTCAGCCTTACTTTCGTCATCAACACTATCGAATCCAACAACCCGCTGGAGGAAGATATGCAGCTTAGGGTGCGAAGCTGGGTCCTTTGTAACTTCGAATAGCGGCTTGAAGACATTCGTTATGACCTGCTCAAAATTTTGCATCATTCCACTTGATTTATAGACGTCGTAAAGACGCGGGACTTGGATTAGCCAGCGAACATTGGGAGAGAACAATTTGTTATCCACAACCCAAGCAGCGAGCTTGTCCCATTCTTCGATTGATCTTCCGTAAATGGAGATGCGCCACTCCACCATTTGATACTTGCTTGATTCCAGATCAGAGATCACTTCTTTTGTTATTTCTGCTAAATAGCGCCCTTTGATGAAATTGTCCGTCTTCAAGAAGATTTCGCGTAAGCGGGATTCGCCAACAGGATTGTATTTGAGGTTGAATTTGTCGAACCGGTGGAACGAATCGGTATGTGCCTATTGGAGATGTTAGTGGTGGAGAAGAATTCATGACAAAGTGAGCTTGTTACGTACGTGCATGTCGAGAGTGTCAATACTGAGGTCATAGGCTGTGAGATTAATGCTTTCAAAGACTTCCCTGAGTGTCAAATGTTTCCCATCTCTGAACAATACAACCTCATCTGGGGACTTTTTCATCTTGCTCTTGATGAAACGAAGAAGATGCTTCTGATTCATGCATGCGGAGTGGTGCACATGTGTATCGACTTTCCGAACATTATAGAAATCCCTATGAGGCACTTTCTTGCTATCGGCGATTTCTTGGTACTCGTTCAGAAGTGTATACAGTTGAAATTTCCCTTCTAGGTAGGAAAGTCGCTTGAAAGCAAAGCTTTTCGCAGGTCCGTCCGTCGATATATCAGTAACTGCATCAAGGTCCATGTAGAAGTCTCTTAAGGAAGGTATTTTGACCACTGGGCGTCGGGAATCCCGGGCCGAATCGCCCTCATAAACCTGATATACACTATTCTCGTCCAGCTCGAACACCCAGTCAGATTCCCCAGGCAGGGGCAGGCAGTCAGCCATATCGAAATCCTCGCCCACATCTTCACCCATCTTTCTTCTTTTGTGGTCAGCACGTGGGCGATCGTGGATCTTCCCAAGGTCCTTGTCATCATCCCAGGCCGGTTCTGGGGGTGGAGGGTAGATCTGCCAATTCGGGGCATCTTTTGGATTGTTTTCAGGCCCTTGCAACGATAGATTCATATATCTGGCCCTTCGATCAAGCAGACTCTTGATTTTACGACAAATGACATCCAAATCTGAGGCTATCACATTGGCGCCTGGCGTAATATGCATGATGCCTTGGACTGCGCCGAGCCCATCTCCTGGGTTTCCTAGACTGCTTGTTCCTGACAAGATGTGCTGCTCGCTCAAAGATTGAAGAATAGAAGGTGCTTCGGAGGCCTTCTGTTTTTCTAAACCCTCAGTTTTGGGGCTACCGAAAGGTGTGTCGATAGTGTCCGTACTTAAATCTGTGTGCCGAACAATAGGAGACGGCTGTTTTGCTATTGCAGGAATCGGAGATCGAAAGCCATCTCTGGGAATCTTTGCCGTGTCAACAGGATCCCTTTGGGTCAGAGGAGTTGGTACACAGGTTGTAGTTGGTGTAGCTGCCTTGGAGAGTTCATCGCTGTCTCCAACGTTTCGAGTGGCGAGCTGATGGTGCTGGTAAAAAAGCTTTGCTTCAGTATGACTCATGGACTTCTCGAAGGCATAGTCATATGTTGGCGTTTTGAGTTGTATGTCCCTTGGAAGAACATCTTCGGGTGTTTGTGGTGCGGACTCTGTGAGATCTGGATTATTTAACCCAGCGTTGGCAGTAACACGGAGGGGAAAGCCAGAGCCTGTCCCAAAAACGTGAGACAAAGTCTCCTCGTTTGATGGACCTAGAGGTGCGCTGGCATTAGAAATGGGCCTTGCAGCTTTATCTGAATTTAGGGAAGTCATTCTCGATCTTGTAGCCCACTGTGTTGTACACGGTCGTGCCGCTACAATCCTGTAGGACTGGCTGTAATCAAGTTGCCCGATTAGTGCAACACTCTCTAGTTGGGATGGGTATCCAAGAATAAAAATTCATAGCCAGTCCGAAAGTGCTCACCGCACCTGCTCAGTGCCTAAATTAACATAAATCGCCGATTATTATTAAGCAGACACCTGTGGGAATAGCCGACAAGCAATCAATAAAGTATGTTATTGTTATAGCTTTCGCGTATATTAAAAAATACTATCTGGGCAGGTACCTATAAACAGTTTCTTTATAAAATGTAATTGTTATCGTTAATCTTGCCATATGATGTTGATCTGTCCGAGAAACCACCATATAGTTGCCCCTCAGGATAGGGAGCCCTTTTATGATGCACTGGCACAGGGGATTAAACCAATCTATAAGTCCAAACTTAGTCCTCGACCTTACTATACATAGTACTTAGTATGACTTTGGAAGACCTGACAAAAACGATAAATAAATAGCCTTCTTCCTCCGCCTTTTCAGCGTGCGACTTACCGATGGTGGTTAGTATTATCTTGGTGGCGGGTGAGCGCGCACCGCCTCATTCAAGTCCTAGTCTAATAAGGAGTAAGCTGTGACGTACTGCACTTGCTGGTGGCTACCCCGTCTTCTGTACTAGACTAGCCCATGAAAACAATTAACACATATCCCCTAGGCAGAAATTCCAAACATTCGCAACACTAACATCTACTGTAAGTCAAGGCCTGCTTTATTCGCTACTCCTAGAATATAAAATGTGGAACGGTCCCCTGAATTCCTTCTCCTACAAATCTGAACAATGACTTCAATCCAGCTCTGCCACCTAACCTCATCTAACAGCTTTATTCTAGTTTTCCTGTCACACTCTGTCCTCGTGCTCCAGATATTTGACCCCAGCAAATATGGCCACTCTTAACTTGTCCACCAACGGGCCTTCGATAGCAAAGAGCTACCAGGCCGTGATCGACTCGGCTCTGCCCGGTTCGAACTCCCCTACTTACGGACAATGGGTCGTCTTCTCTGTTTCGACCCCTCTTATCAATGCCTTTCAGCAAGACTCTGGCAACAAAGAGAGTGTCTTGAAGGTTCAAGATACCGGAGGTCTGTCAATTACACCTTGGTTCTTTCGAGATGAAACTCGTTAACCCCTGTTTTTAAGCTGGTGACCTGGTGGACTTGATTGAGGAGTTCTCTGAGGGCAAAATTCAATTTGCTCTTGTAAAGATTCTCGATCCAAACTCGGGGCTCCCTAAGAACGTCCTCATTGCCTGGTGTGGGGAGGGCGTACCTGAGCGTACTAAGGGGTATTTTACCAGTCATCTCGCCGCTGTTTCTAAATTCCTGCATGTCAGTTTGCGCTATGCCCAATATGCATACCCGGTGCTCCATTCTGATACATAGAACTATAGGGCTATCATGTGCAAATAACCGCTCGTTCCGATCAAGACCTGACCGCGGAGGGTATAATACAGAAAGTTGGGGATGCGTCCGGAGCGAAGTATACCCCGGGATCAGATCGGCCTACATCTACTCCAAAGCCCCCGGTATCAACTAAACCTGTCTTTAACCCCACACGGACCGGTGGCACTGTTGCGAACAACCCAGCAGTTGCTGCATCACGAGTGGCTGCAACAAGGAGTGGGGATGATGGCTGGGGTCCTGATGCGCCCCCAGTCACGAGGACTGGTCTTCAAAAAGTCCAGTCAGCTTACAGACCCACCAAGGTGAACATTCTAGAGCTCAAAGCCGGTGGGCAGTCTGACTCTGGTTTCGCGGTTTCCCGAGACACCGAGGACCGTGACGAAATTGTCAAAGGTGGCTACAAGCCTATCGGGAAGGTCGACATTGCTGCCATAAGAAGACAAGCACGTGAAGCAGGCAATCTAGCTGACGATCGTCCTGAGCCCGTGAAAGGTGCATATCAGCCAGTTGGGAAGGTCGATATCGCTGCAATCCGGGCTAAAGCACAGGGTGGAATCATTGATCCCGTCAACGAGCCGACCTCTTTCGAGCCAAGGCCTTTACCGGACATGACTGGGTCCTCTAAGCCGTCAACTGCATCCCCTGTTGCGAGCCAATATGAACGCCTGACTAGCTTACCAAAACCGAAAGTGGCAAAGAACATCACTTCAAATTCCACATTCGTCGGAACGAAGCCCCCCTTGCCTACCCAAACGTCTCAGGCTACGGCACCGTTAGTGGGCAGTGCGAGTCGTACATTTGCGGATGAAGGGGGAAAAACACCCGCACAGCTCTGGTCAGAGCGCAAGGCTAGGGAACGTGGCTCGGCTTTTCACTCAACCTCATCCAACTCACCGGACGCGGAAATAAGTGCATTAACCCACACTGATGTTGAGTCACCACAGGGCAATTCCCCCAAGCACCCTGTACATGTTGCCCAATCTCGCGATATACCACAATTTTCCGAACATCCTCTAGGTGCGCAAAAATCGGATCGTGGCTTAGACACGGAGTCTGCGCAGGAAAGCACAAATGTCAATCCCAGCCACATGAGTCAGGACGTGTCTGGGAGCTTGAACCATGAGAAAGAAATTGTTCCGCCGACTAGCCGCACTGTGCCTGTGCCAGAACTTCCCAGAACTGTCCCGGCGACTGACTCAGAGGAATCATATCAGCCTAGAGGCTTTGATTCGCTTCCGACGCCTCCTCAGCAGCCTCGGTCTCCTACTCCTCCTACACCTTCAATGACAGAGCGCGAACTTTCGCCCATACGTGTGGCTGCTCCTGTTGGTAAAGGACTGACGGATATTCAGAGTGAACAACAGTCACCACCTCCTGCACTCCCCACTGAAAGCTTGCAGCAGGCGTTGCCAAAAGAAGATGACTTGGAAGATGATGCGCACGATATCGGGCGTGCAACCGCTGAAGCTACTGTGAATGAGGACTTTCAGCAAAAGGCTATCCAGGCGGTGGTGCTTTATGACTACGAGAAAGCAGAGGACAATGAGATTGAACTTAAGGAAGGCGAGTTCGTCAACAACGTCGAAACGGTCGACAAGGATTGGTGGCTGGGGTCTAATGTCCAAGGTGACAGAGGTCTGTTTCCCAGCAACTATGTAGAGATCGTCACAGATCCGTCGCAGAGCCACGATGTGGCGGACAGGCAAACTCCTCTGGTCGATGAAAGAGCTCCGCCCTTGTCCAATGTTGAACCTGCCCCATCTACTATCACCCCTGAACCAGCTGGCGAACCTGTTGCGGTCGCATTGTACGACTATGAGGCCGCGGAGGACAATGAACTGAGCTTCCCCGAGGGTGCTGAGATAACACATATTGTAAGTCTGGGCAATCCTTTCTTGATCGCGCCGACCACTTGTTCCAATTCGGTTTTCATCGAATTCGCAAATCTAGTTTCTGGTTCGTCTATTGGGTAATCATGGCTGACTTGAAGGCGTCTCCTCAGGAGTTTCCGGATGATGACTGGTGGTTCGGCCACTATGATGGGAAAACAGGACTATTCCCTGCGAACTATGTGCAAATTGGAAATTGATAGATGGCATCTCTTACGTATGGGTTTTGACTCTCATCACCCTCTAAATACAGATGCAGTGGCTGCATGTATATTTGTCGCCCCCCTCCACCCCCCCCCCTCTCACATGAGATTAACCAGATATAACTGAAGGGGCGCCTACAGACAGCTTCTGTATCTGGGTAGATGAGTTTCTCAATTCGTGTTCTTATTCTTGTACTTACTCTTATGGTTTGCATAGTCTGTATACTACTGGTGGAGTACTGAGTAATATAATACATATCTCAGCTTCTTAATGTTACATTCATGTATATAAGGGATATTTATCAGCCCTGTAATTCTGTATTTGCGTAGAGATCAATATGACATCTGAAGTTGTTGAATGCAGCTTGTATCTTTCTTAAATTGCCTCTCATGAGAGGTACACCCTGATAAGAATAAGACCATATCAATAATATTCTACACTAACAAAAACACTTGAAGACACATTGTTTCATTGTTGCTGGAGATAGTATCATCATAGTTTTATGTAGAATAATTCTCTTTATCTTTCTGATAGGGTTGTTCCTTCAAGTATATATTATAAAGATAAATCAATAGGTGTGTATTCATTAGTGATCTTAGAGTAGTACTACTTTGACCTACAGTATTGGAGAAGTGTGTTAAGAAAATCTAGGTAGACCTTTACACCTTCTCTGTAACCTCGGTAGGAGTATGGCTTCACATGGATCATATTCAGGGTTGCCTTGTGCAGCAAGTTGTACAGAGTGATACATAGTACATAATAGAATAGAGATTTGCTACTGACACCGGCAGTAATTCTAATGCTACCGGATGTAAACATTTAAAGGTGAAACACAGCTGATGAAGCTTTAAGTAAGGATATTAGAATACTTTTTCTATAACCAGAGCTTTCCAGAAGTCTTTCTTTTATCATGAGTGCTAGGTCCTTTGTATGCTATTAGGTCTGTTCATCAGAGAGTCCCTTTTGCTTTTCTCTTTGTTAAGGCCTTCGAGGTTTATGATAGTACAACTTAGCTTATACTATAATTTATTTTTGGATTGTTATTAACGTATGATATGAGAGCTTCCTGCTTCGCTGTTGGTACAGTACTCAGTATTAGAATTACTGCCGGTATCAATAGTGAATCGCAGTGGCCACCGAATTGCATCATAGCATAGGTAATCCTCTCGTCGCTTAGTCATGCCACGTGACAGTATCATTCACATACAGAGTAAGTTATAACTTGCCTTGCCAGGATATAGCCAAATAGTTCCGAGAGTACCACCATTTATACAGCTGGGTCATGCATTAGCATAGCATATTCGCGCATCGGATCAGGTTCGATACCCTCGATTTAGACAAGAGCTTCTCTAATCATCCTACATTTGTGTCGTTAGACCTCTTCAGATCTTTCAGCGGATTTTCTCTAAATCCAAGCACCTCGAAGAGCAGTGTTCGCTTTCGTCACTGCATTGAAGCATGGCAGCCCTCAGTGAGGACTTACTTATCACCGTCAACAAGCTACAGGATCTTGTCTTCAACACCATTGGAAATGACTCCCTTGATCTACCGCAGATTGTGAGTGAACATCGCCCACGGCTTGCTCTTTCCTGAGCCTTCTGCGCCATACAATCATACAATAGCAAAGCTAACTAATTCCTGCAGGTCGTTGTCGGTTCTCAATCTTCCGGAAAGTCATCTGTCCTTGAAAACATCGTTGGCAGAGATTTCCTGCCGAGAGGAAGCGGTATAGTGACAAGAAGACCCTTGATTCTTCAACTCATAAACATACCTAGCGAACGGCATGATAGACCTGAGGGTGACGAAGTTCACATACCTCATACTGCTGCAAGTGTTGCGGGACAAAATGAGTGGGCAGAATTCCACCATCTGCCCGGCCGCAAATTCGATGACTTTGCTCTCGTGAAGCAGGAAATCGAAGCCGAGACAGCAAGGATAGCGGGGAGCAACAAAGGCATTAATAGACAGCCCATAAATCTCAAGATCTTCTCACCCCATGTCCTCAATCTCACCATGGTTGACTTGCCGGGATTGACGAAAGTGCCTATTGGAGATCAACCGTCGGATATCGAAAAGCAAACACGGGCATTGATTCTGGAATACATAGCCAAACCCAACAGCATCATTCTGGCAGTGTCCCCTGCCAATGTCGACCTTGTGAACTCTGAAGCCTTAAAGCTTGCGCGACAGGTAGATCCCATGGGTCGAAGGACGATCGGTGTCTTGACGAAGCTGGACCTCATGGATCATGGCACTAATGCCATGGACATCCTCTCTGGCCGCGTCTATCCACTTAAATTAGGCTTCATCGGCGTCGTCAACCGCTCTCAACAAGATATTCAATCCGGGAAATCATTGTCTGACGCACTGCAGGCTGAGCTGGACTTTTTCAGACACCATCCTGCTTATCGGAACATGGCAAATAGATGCGGCACTCAATTCTTGGCAAAAACCTTGAACACGACTCTTATGTCCCACATCCGCGATCGGCTTCCTGATATCAAAGCACGTCTTAACACTCTCATGGGACAAACACAACAAGAGCTTGCAAGCTATGGCAACAAGCAGTTCAGCGGCAAGGAACATCGCGGCTCGTTGATATTGCAACTGATGACGCGCTTTGCATCATCGTTCATATCTTCGATTGACGGAACGTCCTCCGAGATCTCTACCAAGGAACTTTGCGGCGGCGCTAGAATATACTATATATTCAACTCTGTTTTCGGGAATTCCCTTGAAACGATAGATCCCACTCACAACCTAACTGTCTCTGATATCAGGACGGCTATTCGAAATTCAACTGGTCCTCGTCCGAGTCTATTTGTCCCGGAGCTTGCCTTTGATTTGCTTGTAAAACCCCAGATCAAGATGCTGGAAGCTCCTAGTCAGAGGTGCGTCGAACTCGTTTATGAAGAGCTTATCAAGATCTGCCATACATGTGGCTCACAGGAGCTCCTTCGTTTTCCACGTTTGCAAGCCAAATTGATTGAAGTTGTATCCGATCTCCTTCGGGAACGTTTGGGCCCCTGCTCAGGATACGTGGAATCCCTCATATCAATCCAACGAGCCTACATAAACACCAATCATCCCAATTTTCTTGGTGCAGCGGCAGCAATGTCGTCCGTTATTCAAAATAAGCAGGAGCAGGAAAGGAAAGCAGCTCTAGCAGAGGATAGAAGAAAAAGGGAAAAGCGCCGGCTCAAGGAACTTGGGGGGCTGAATGGCAACAACGCTGCTTCGTTGGAAGATGACGAAGATCCGCAATCTGAGATTAAGCCGCCGAACGTCTCTAGCAGAAGCCAATCCGTGCGGGGTGCTAGAAGCATGTCTCCTCACCTCGGTAAAGCTCAAGACGGCAGCATTTCAGCTACACTGAATGGGACGCATTCGAACGCCTCGGCCACGTTCGGAGCAACGAACACTACCCGTGATTCATTCTTAAATTACTTTTTTGGCAAGGACGGCGTGCATCCAGTCACCTCGCTACCGCAGGTGTCAAACACAAATAGACACATTTCAGGCCCCCATGAGGCCAGTGTCAGCCATGGGATGCGGCGGGCAGATCTGCGGTCTCCGATAATGCCGCCAGACGATTATATTACCAATGCGGAACAATCTGGTGACGTCGGTATTTCTGTGAGTTGACTATTTGGTATCTTCATTTTAGAATAAAAACAGCTAACCAAGAAAACTTAGCCAAAGGACGACTCCGACTCCTCTTTATCTGAACGTGAGATCTTGGAAACAGAATTGATCCGCCGATTGATCTCTTCATACTTTAACATTGTCAGGGAAACGATCGCGGACCAGGTGCCCAAGGCCATTATGCATCTGCTGGTCAATCACAGCAAAGATGTTGTGCAGAATAGGCTTGTTAGCGAGCTCTATAAGGAAGATCTGTTCGGGGAACTTCTTTACGAGGATGATGGAATCAAAGCGGAGAGAGAAAAGTGCGAAAAGCTTCTTGATACATACAAGGAGGCAGCGAAAATTGTGGGTGAGGTCTTGTAGAACATTTGATCAAGGAAGGTCAGCCGCAGACCATTAAGAAGCATTGATGACGTTGTTTTCCACAGTCTTCATCACCTGAAATCGCCAAGGTTAGCCTCTTTCTAGGAGAAAAAAACACCGTGGCACTGTTGTATCATATACTAAGATTGTTTTCTTCCCACAACGACGCTTATTAAGTTAGCCCTAACAGCGTAGACTCCTTTGTGCTATCAAATTCAGTCTGCAGGTACATTAGACCGTGTAGAATTGCATCAATCGATACAGCAAATCTGAACATTGCAAGAGGACAAAAGAGCTTGATGATATCCAGGCAATGAACTCTATCCGGCACATGAGATTTGAGTTTATTCTTTCTTTAAATGTGACTTTCTGCCACGTGCCCCTTCATAGCCATATAAGGCACCACCGAGAAATACCAATAGGGCACCAACAAGGATTCCTGGCGCGAGAGAATTCCCGAAAATATATATAGACAACAAGAGTGAGGCAAGTTTGCGAATGTTTAGGACGATAGTCACGGTTAGCGAAGACGTTTTTGCAGACAAAAGATGTACCCCACGAATGCACAAGTATTGAGTCAATGCATTTATCACAAGGTACATCAAACGTGTTGGTATTGCTGCGAGGATCAATTGCGAAGGGTCAGGATCCAATTTCAGTACTGAAAGCTGGATAATTTTGTTGGCAATCGAGGCTATACATGGTGAACCGCAGTTTCCCTTTGTTGCTGTAGAATCCCGAGATAGAGCTGGTCCATTTGACGTATGTGAAAGTAATAACGCTCGCCATTGGGTGGCGACCTGTGGATAAGTGGGTAAAAAGAGAGGCAGTGAGAGTACATGAGAATAGAAGAGAGCCTCTTTCCAGTGGTTCCGGCCATATTTCTCGTAAAGTCGATCAGCGTAGATCCCTTGGAAGGCAGACAGGACCATCGCTACAGCAAGAACTGTAAATCCTGTCATTGTTGACATCGTCGATGCGCCTTGGACGTTGACTGATTGACCTTTCGCTCTGGCGTCTGCCAGTGCAGCAGCAACGACGCCCAATGTAAGCATGAGCACAGAGAGCATCTGACCCCGTGTGTACCGCTTAGCATTGAAAATGTAGCCTATGATCATGGACGCCACAGGGCCTCCCGACCTAAGGATGATATGTAGGGGAACGGATATCTTGTATGCGAATGCCCAGTTGTTTAAAAGGTTGACGCTGATGAAGAAAGCTGTATAGACAACCCAGGATCTCAGAGGGATGGCACGTGGTCTAAGGTACAAGGAACGAAACCCGGCAGATGGAGAAATGAAATCCGGAACGGTAACGATTGCAGTCAGGAGGAATTGGGCGAGCGTTATCAGGGGACCTCGGAGATCATCAGTACAGAAGCGAATCGGCATATCGACAGTGGAACAGCAATCATTACTTACCGGAGCTAGGCTGTTCTCTAAGAGGTGGAGGTCAGTATAGGTATCATTCTTGTGTGCGGCCGAGTACACCAACCAACTTACTTGATAATTGCCTCGAGAGCGAAGACCTTTAGTTCAGACATCAGTAAGAGGACTTTCCTGCCTTGGAATCAACTCACATTAGCACAGCAACCACCGAGAATCAGGGAAAACGTCAACGTCAAGTTCGACCATCTACTCAGAGCTGAAGTGGCCAAGCCACTCCCAGCGCTGCGCAACTCTTGGGATTCCGCTCCTCCAAACCCTCCATACTTCCCGTTGTCGCGACACTTTTGAGTTTCCAATTCCCGTGGATTGGTTGTGAGTAGGTCGACATCCGATGCTTGCTGGCTGGGGCTGGGGTGGACCCGTGGGGAGTCTCTGTTCATTTGTGTTGACGGCATACCGTCTACGGCCCATTCCTTTTTCATGAGTAGACAAAAGACGGCGGAGTTGGTTCCGGAAACCAAGGGAGTATTGCTTTGGAGAAAGGCGGTTGGTAACAAACGCGCCCAGAGCCCTAGCCGACACGCAGCCTCTTTGTCCAGTCTCTCTCAAAGTCCTGGCATTTTTCTGATTGGTTTAGGCTATGCACGTACCTACTTAGTATATGTGTAAGTCAGTCAATCCGGTAATTTAACGAACATTAACCTGAGTAAACTGACAGGTTAACTATTTACTAGGCGAACTAACTACTTTGGTCCTGCTTACTAAGTATGGAGGTATGTACTCATATAATCAAAGTCAAGAAGCCGCATTAATTCACTGACTGCTAGGTAAATATATGAAGTGACTCATAATATGAGTCTTAAAAGTTGTAGTCTGGACATACAGGTATGTACCTAGTAGTAGTTACCATTTAGCTGGAGGACCTCGGACTTGCGCCGAGTTCCCGTGCCAAGGGGCCCCCTCCCCCGCCTCAGATGTTACGGTTCCTAGGTACTATATAAAACCCGATTACTGACTAGTCAGTATTTAGAACTAGGCAGCGACACCCTGGATTGGGCTCTATACTGCAAGGCCCTTTAAATATGTATATATTAGACGGATTGATTATATGTTACCTAAGGAAATAAACTATACTATGTAGAACAGCTACGGGGAGAACGAACAACAAATTCTTGCTACATTTACAGGCCGAAGGTCTAAACCAATACACGGGTACTTGGGTTAGAATGGATATAGTTATATAACACCTCAATGCTTAGACAAATATATAAGCAAGCCCTTAACGGCCATTTTAAAAAAGTGCATTATAAAAAAGGGTTGAAGTACGGGCCCTGCTGGGCTCGCCAAGGGCGCTCTGACTGAATGCTTCTGGCCAAGGATGGGAACCCGCAGGTCAGGCCCCCGTAGATCTACCTATACCTTGCACCTGCACTGACTGTGGAATAGCTTCTACCAGCAGCGTCTTCCAGGATCCAGCAGAAGAAACCAACCATGTATACCGTGCCTACTTGATTCACAAATGATTCCGTGATTGATACGTGACCCTGAGCAAAGCTTTGTCCTAGACCAGTATACTCTAGAGCTAACACTATTTATTCCTTCGAAGCGAAGGTATTTCGGGTATACAGAAGGATGATAAGGAGATACACCGAAGGATGATTGTCCGTAGTCGGGGCTTATTCTACACCAAGTCACGTGGAAGAGACCCAAGCGCTTGAACTAAGACAAGCATACCAAGCATGACAAGATCATCGAAACAAGTGCTCAGTTGTCGTCTATAATTTCATCATCACTCAAGGTAAGCCCTCTCTCATCAGTCCCAGACGGTAGATGGGACTCTGAAGTGTTATCCCAGCCTCGAATCCTTGTTTTCGATATTTCTCCCAGTAGTCCGACATTCGCACCAGGTGCCTCTATCTCACCAAAGAAGGTATGTGCTTTGTCGGAAGCCTGCGGCCGGAGCCTGGTGAGCTTTGTAATCTTCTCGAGCTCCTGTCCTTCAGTGGCTCCTCTGAACAAACATGCCATATACGGCAATTGGTGAAGTATAAGGTCACTGCGCGGTATCATGGTTGCTGCCACTGTTTGGCTCTCATTCCGAGCACGCTCGTGAGAGAACTTGCTGTTAGTGCTCAGCTCCTTCTCGCTGAGGGGAGTAGTAGATTCAAATATTGAGCCTGGGGCAGGGTAACTCATCGAGCTCAAGAGCCTGCTTGACCACAAAGCTACGAGGCCCTCAACCTCCTCCAAAACATGCAGTGACCGCAAAGAAGTCGGGTAAAGAAGTTTTTGGCCATGTCTTGAAGTCCCAATACCATCATCGAATGAACTCCTCCGTGAAACTGGATAAGGGAGGGCGAATAGTAGCCCACGAGCGGCAACTTGGTAGCTGATTTCTTGCTGCCGCAAAGTTTCAACTGCAGCACTATTTCTAGCGGCATGTATGAAGAACCTGTTTATCCTTTTAGAAATAGGATACAACAAGTCGCTATCTGAAAGCGCACTAATGCAATCGTCAAGGCACTCTGTGAATGAGGCACCATCACAAGATGGAACATAATTCTCATGCAAAGTACTGATGAACGTTTGCGTATCGGTACCAGTCTCATTATATAGTTCGTTGACCTGCACCTGTGATGGTTTCGACCGTCCATAATGACGCAAGTAGCTCGGTGGTATAACAGGCTGACCATCTTTGTTAGAGCTTGGATCGTCACGCTTATTATACACAACCTTCCCAACAGCATGAAACAACCCTAAAGTGGTCTCTCGTTGGGTTATCAGCCCGAGTGCCTTTTCCTCCATCGAAGTAAGAATGGGTACTCTCCGGGAGGCCTTCTTGGCCCTAGACGATTTCTTCACCTCGGCAAAATTACTGGACTTTAGGCAGATGAATTCTAGCCTGGCAGCCGCACTTCGAATATCCCCGTTCTGAGAGAGGCTGCGCATTGTAGCGGGTGATAGGGCTCGTCCGGATTTAGAAACGCGGCCTTCCTTCTCTATGATCAAATTTAAGGCTTTGAACATGAACGTTGGAGCTATACTATTGAAGTCAATAATGCTTGTTCCCGGATGATTGCAGATCGCCGGGCCTAACAATCGATGAGCTGTGATGTTATCTGAAAGAGAAGAGCACGAGTCGAGAAGTGTCTCTGAAATGATTATGACGATTGGAGAGCAGGGCACTATGTCCATCTCTCGAGCGGAGCCTGCCGTTACGAGGTACCGCTGGACAGCCATTCTGAACAGAGACAGGTTAGGGGATTGCGTCATTAATGAAGGGAATTCCTCAATCAGAATCAAACGCCGTCGCGGCGAAAAGCACTCTATGGCGCCCCTTTGACCTTCGGAGAAATTGCTCGGCAGGTCAAGGTCGAGACCTGAGAGCTCATTAGCCCTCTCCAAAAAATCACCAAATTGCAAGGCAACGGAATTCGGTAAGTCGGTGACAGAGTCAGATGCCGCTGGATTTCTCCATTCAAGTATCTCGAACCCCAGAGCCTCTGACAGAATGGAGACTGTGGTTGTCTTGCCACTTCCTGCGGGGCCACGGAGGATAAGTAACTTCCGCCATTGTCAGTAATGAATAGTTTGGACTCGAGGTCATACATAGTCCAAAACATGATAAAGGGAGGCATTCAACAAATGGCCAGGCTACATACCCGTTCACCCGTCCCACAGAATGCATTATTCAGCCAATTTTTCACTTCGGAGACTTTCCTGCCGTGAACTGCCAGTTCACTTATATCTTTAGGGGGGAATCTCTGAGCCCACGGCAATTCTGCATTATGGGCAATGGACGGGCGGAAGAGCCGAGGTTGGGAATAACAGGCGGGCGGTATGACAAAGCGTTTGGTAGTGCTAGAGGAGCTCTGACTGCCGGGCAGTCCCTTCTGATGAGATGGACGAGGACCCTTCCGATCGTTGGCAATGTTTGTGATGTCCTCGCGTAGACAAGTACCATCGTCTGCAAAATGTTGTGTAAATATCTCATCAAAGGAGTCATAATCATCTTCAATGACGTCGTCAAATGGGCCTGGTGCTTCCATTGCTATGTTCGTCTTCGCATTATCATCCGTCTCAGGACCAGATTTCTGGCCGGACATTGCATGGTCGCAAAAATCGAATGTGGTGGATCGTGTTAGAGAGAGATCTGAAGGTGCTTTGCGCTTCATCCTCGCTATCGTAATCGCCGTCTCCAGCTTGCCGGAAGGAAGACTCAATCAAGCAGAATAAGGAGACAAGCAAACAGACCGGAATGGCTGTCGTCGCAGAGTATCTACCGCTGTGGTCTCCTTAGCTTCATCACAGCCTATGCTGCAGCTAAGCTAAGTACATGTACATCCGTTCGTTGTCCATGAAAACTAACATGATCATGGCCTGGATGAAAGAATGCAGCTCATGAAGAACGGGCAGATTATAAGAGGACGGATGAGGACGATACACTAACTGGAGTGGGCGAGATTCATCAGCAAAGCCAGTTCTGCTCATAGGACCCTGAGTTCCGGGATGTCGATAGAGCTTCGGGAGATTGGTGGTTCCAACTGTGTCCCGAACCGTGGCCGGATAGTTCTGCCGAGCCGAACAATCGCTAGATGTTTCTACTGTGTATGTAGCCTGAGGTTTCACGTACAGTATATATAAGTCCTAGGTAACTAAAATTTAGCCATCCACTACAATATTCGGGCTGCAGGATGTACGTACTTGCGGAAGCTATTCGGTGAATAAAGTCTATGAAAGAGACGAGACCTACGAAGTTATTATGCTTGGCATTATGAATTACTAGAGAGAAGACCATGTCATGTCTTCTGAATATATGTATAGTCAATGCATATAATGAACAAAACCATCAAGAACCCCCGAAGACATCGTAATAATAATCATTGTCGAGGCCTTCACGTGAAGGGACGCCTGGTGTCTCACCGACGAGTGCTAGGTCATCGAAGCGAACGTTCAATAGACGGATTTTGAGGCCGTAGTCGCTAATTAATTCTATTAATTTGCTTGTTTCTGTCGTGATAGGCTGCTGGTTAAGTAGCATTAGTAAACCATCGAGCCACTCCGATGCTACACTGGGAGACTGTGGATGCAAGTTTAGCAGTATACACCCCCCCGGCGTAGACTTGCTGAGTTGTCGAGAATGATGGCTGGCGTCCTGTGCGCTGCCCTTCGTTCTTGCTGTATGATCAGGAGGGCCATGAATTATTATCCTCATAGAAGGATTGTTGTGGGACCGAGTCTTCACTGCTGATGGAAAGTAATCATCAGACAACTTCGAGACGTTGGATACCACGGAAGATACAATGGAAAGGTCGACTGAGCGATACGGTGAGTGTTTAATCAAGCTCAAAGCGAGGGGTAAGTGCTAGTAAGGGTATACTCACTTTTATCTGGTAGAGCGTCTACTTGAGGACTTTCTTCCTGCCGATGCTCGAAGTCACCAAAGTGCAGAAATCGCCGATTATGCGATAGCTGAATATAACGCCAGCAGGACTTTTTCGATGCCAGTTCCAAGTTCAAATCGTCTTCGTTCGGAAACCAACCGCCTCGAAGCAGAGATCTTATGCGCTGCTCTTTCACAAATTGAAGGGCCTCGTGGTATAGCTCTTCGCGCATACTTCGTAGATGTTGCCCCCAAGCATCTTCGTATGTAAGCTCCAATAGTTCCATCTGTAACTCACGCAGGCGCCCGTAGTCAAAATTGACTATGTCTTCCTCCACATCTTGCACGTCCTTAGTGCGAGGCGCCCTACCGACGATCGATTCAAGAAGCACACGAACGAGCTCCACAATTTTGTCATAATCTTCACTCTCGGCACCTGTGATTTTCCATAGACGGAAGAACGCATGCAATCCAGCGACATGTAATCGCGTCCAGTGTAACAATAGAGGCTGAAATAGACTTTCAACATTCAAGCGAGAATCTATCAGTAAGGATGATTTGACATCTTCTATCTCTGATTTGTCGACCTCAAAGTGATCGTAGAGAATACAGGTGACGGACAACGAAGCACGAGCAATTGGACAACGTTGATCTGCTGGCCTTGTCGATTGCTCCAAGATGATTTTCTGGAATTCATCTTGATTGTTTCTGACATAATCTGCCAAGTCCATGAGTCCCAGGAAGCCTGTACATTCAAATTGCATCACTGGACTTTCGGTTTCGAAGCCAAGTCGCCGCCACTTTTCTGGGTCATGGCGTTTAGATCGACGGACATCTTCCCCGGTTTCAGTGCCCTTATCACGACTCCGTTCCAAAGAACTAGCCACGTAAATCCCCTTCAACGCTCTTCTATGTTCTGGCTTCTCCAGATTTAGTGCAATGTCTCGCCATTTCCGCAAAAGAACCTTGGTAAGATATTGGAACTCGATCAGTGGATGTATGTGGTCCTGCATGGCACTTCCTTGCATCAGGGAGTATACTGCCCGTATAACTCCCAGATCTTGTAGCCTTTGAATGAATTTTGGCCATTCTAAATCCGTATCGTTTGCGACGGAGTCACGCATAAGTGAATTGATCAGTTGCAATGCATTGGCGCAAAGCGCATGGTCTCCGGAGGATAGTCTGCTGACAAGCATCTCCAGGAACTGTGGATAGATGGCAATTGCAGGTTTTAGCGCGCCAGATCCGAAGCCTCCAGTCTGCGTACTATCATCGCGTGCGTGCGGGTGTGACACTATGGACACTAGTATAGACATAGCACCCCTTAAGATATTGACAAGGGGATGTGTCACAATTAGCTCAACAACCTGAGATACAATGACCACCAGTCAGTCATTGTATAACCAAGATTCGACGATTTATTGACGAGGTATTGATTGGGCCACATACTCTTTTGACCACTTCCTGGTCTACGAAGTCCCAGCCCTTATCGACATCTAATAGTCTTGCGAAGCTTGTCAGGCTATATGCCAAGGTGTTACCAGTTGCATGTAATATCAGATAGCGTAGCCTGACCAATCCACCCTCTGCAATGAATATATCGGCGAAAGAAGGATCGCTGATGCTGCTCTGCAGCTTGAAAACTGCCATTTTGCGTACTCCATCTTCATCGCTCCCTAACCTCTCCACAAGTTCCGATATGCTATTCTCCATTGAGACTGTTTTGTGTGTTGCTTTGATCTCTGAATTAAATCAAAATCTGATTGATGCTCAAGCCAAGCAGTGTGTTTATTCAAGATGTTCGGTCGAGGAGGTGAGTTTCAAGTATTACATCCTGTCGGGGTTGGAAAGTAGAAAGAGAGATGATCAGGAGGTGGGCTGCCAAGCAACCGTATCTACTGTACTTACTTCGCACCTTGAATTAAGTTACAGCTGGGACAAGCCACCCTTGTGTATTGAATCTCTCTCCATTTGTACGGTACGGATGCGAGTTAATTCCTCATCTCAGACGTCTAGAATTGCGTAGAGCTTGTCAATCTATTTGTGCCAAGTCCAGCATCAGCATCAGGCGATTTACCTTCTCTGCCAAGCCAATGTCTGAATTTCATGTAAGTATAGTCCAGTGCAGTAGTATACTCTGCAAACTCTGTATTATTGCATATGTACAGTACTGTATGGAAGTGTACAGCGCATGACCAGGGTCAGGTTTCCGAATCCTATTACGCTCTACGGAGTACTTACAGAGTTGGGCTTGCCTAGAAATGTTAAATAGACTGTGGGTCTAGAGTAATATGTACTCATACGTAGTACATACCGTCGTACAGTAAGTGAAGTGGGTCTTCTATACCGACCGAGTCGAGGAAAATTGGTACGTACCCCTTGTGACTCTACCCTGGACAAAGCAGCCATCTAATTTACATATTCAAATTATGAAAAGCTACAGTACCAAATACTGCGTACTTTCTTAATCTCATCACCCGGTTCTAGACCTCAATACATCTGGCCACTTTGTGTTTTTCAGTGCTAACCAGCGACTTGCTTCGCATGGGTAGTGGTATTACCTAACACATACATGTTCCCTACATTGAAGCTTATGTTTCAGTCTTGATGCTATTCGAGTAAATCCAACATGCCACACGTCCAAGCTGAGCCCGGCCACTTTTCTCTCTTAACACCTAACATGAAAAAAAGGAACCGTGACGATGTCCTTGCTAGGTATGGTTCTAAAATTTGTTTAAAGGCTGGGATTCTGCCATCGCTTTTGGTACTGTGTTGAGAAGAAAGCTGACTGCAGACTTCTAGTACACAGCAAGAGAATAGCCTTGTCACCTTTTCAACAAATAAGACCTCAAACCCCTGCCAAATTGCTGGACATCTCAGAAGATAGTCATGAACAAGGTTTACGTCACCGGGCTTCCACGAAGAGACAGCGGCTTCAGAAACAACTGTCACCGACGCGATCACTAACACTTGCAACTTCGAATATCTTCTCTTCCCAACTATCCCACCGAATCCTCTCTCCGAAATCTCACCAACCGTCGACCTTCTGTTTACTCCCCTGTCATGTTTGTCATAGACGGCCCACAACAAAGGACACTCTAGGTGCCTATTCCAATTGTGAAATATGTGCGCAAAGAAGCTGTTACATTTGTCTCCGTTCATGTGATGCTGTTGACTGCAGTGGCTCGATCAATACGCTCTTAGAGCCGTCAGGCTTTATAAACGAGGATGCTCGTGGCATGGGAAGGCAGATTCGATCACGAAGAATTTGCTCATCGTGTGCAGTCGAAGGTCTGAATGAAACAGGTGCTGTAGTGACAAGGTGTCTTGATTGTGTGCTAAATACGACGCCTCGATGGCAACCTATTTCACCCGGTTAGGAGAAGATTTGGATTCATAAAGACGTCTCGTGAGAGCAGGCGCCCCGTTCGCTGTGCGACCATGCAAGCAGCAAGAGTGGGAATGCAAGCCACAAAAGAATTCATTTGACCGAAGGCGCTCGCTAAGACCCTCTGATGCTGAATGAGAGCCTATTATGACTGTCACATCCGAAAGCCTATAGGGGGAGGAGGACTGTAGCGCCCAAAGGCCTCCAGCTTCTGATAAAGACAAGATTTGTCGGAGAAAAACATTTCTTATACTCACCGAGACTGAAAGTCTATAGACATCCAAGCGATGCCTACCAACATGCAGGCAATAAGCGATCTCATCAAGATCCTGCTTCGCCCACAGACTGTCCAAATTATTCCGGTTATCAAGGATGCTTCCAGCGTCTTTGAACACATGAGCAGGCATCACCTGCAGACCACTAACAACGGCAATTCTACATCGTGAATAGTCTTGCCATATGACTTCAAGCAGGAAGAGGGCGCGATGATTACGAGCAAGAAATATAAAGAATCTCACACCCGGGATAGAACAAGAGAGAGAGAGAGAGAGCACAGGATCAGAAAGCAAGCGTCAACAATTATGTGAGCGAGGCGCAAACAATGATCATACCTAGTTCCATCAATTGAATATATCTTCCGGCCAGGGATCATGTGGCAATCTCAGTAATAATGGTCGTCATGGAGCAGCCCACCTTGCTCGAGAAATCCTACAAAGAAACCTAGAGAGTAATCCTAGTTTGAATGTGGCTGATCTTTAGTATTCCAACTTGGTCAGGTCTTGTTTATTTAGGCATTGATCCGCCAGCAAGAACTTTATCATGGGACACTGATAGTGACTTGTAAACCTGATAAGAAGATCGAGATGCTGCGCTGGTGTATACATAGACGACCCCGTAATAATCATTCTCAACGCTTTCAACGGCCGAACCTCATCTGAGCCCCAGCATAATGCCAAAGTCCCCGTAGAAAGCCGTGATATTCAACTGCTTCTTCAGAGGTATTTGTCCCGCTACTTCTACCGCCAGTGCAAAACATTTCGGTCAGTCGAATGTGCCAGGGAGGATATCCGTCTAATTTCAGAAAGGCGCCGAACACCAGTAGAAGGTCGGGCTCAGGCTTTGTGACAAACCTGAACTGGTCGGAAGCCTTGTTGCTTTCATTCGAGGTTGGCGAACTTGGTCGAGTCGGCTGAGTAGTAATCTCGCTAATTTCTGCGTCGACCAATTCTAAGGTAATATCTTCGGGTGACAACTTTCCGCTCTGGGACATTTCCGCCAAAGTTTTAGTCAGGTCAACAAACGTCTCCCTGCCATCAGTGGCGGAGAGTAGAAGCACCGTCAAGGATCCATTGTTGCGATCACCAGCGATGTCTTGTGGCAGCTGGTCAAAGACAGGATGATGGGGTGCAAATAGACGTAACCGGGGTTGTTGAATAGGAGAGCCATAGTAAGAACACATCTTGTTGGTGATAGCCTGGTGAAGTATAGGAATACAAGATTTCAGAGCCCCTGCGGATGCCGCCCATCTCATTAGCATTCAGCACTGGCATAGGCTCTGTAGATTGACGTCAAGGGCCGTGTCTACTTACCGCTTTTTTCGTAAACACTCAACACTGGAATTCCAGCACTCACGCTCCAAGCTGCAAGCTCTGCAACTTCGTCCATCAAAATAGTAAGGGCGTCATCCTCCTTGCGAAGCGACAAGATGACACTCAAATGTTCGGGTAGGCGCTTGAGGCCTTTCACATCTTTTCTGATCAATTCAGGAGTTCGATGGTGATAATATATGACTGCACATATCCGGTCCACGGTGGCGTGGTAGCTTTGAAGAAGCCGGATTATGATTCCAAAGAAGATATGAACAAAGTTGTATACAATACGGTGAATTTGCGCCTTGACAAAAGTTCGTACAGGAGCTCTTCGGTGAGCTTTGTTCTGCCGCTGCGGCGATCGTCGTTGGAGGTCAGAGGGGTCTGGTAGATATGGCCTCAAGATGTTTTCCCGGTCAGCAGCACTGAGCTTGGTCCCTCGAGAGCGTACATCGTTGCGAAAAAGCTCTCTGTCATGTTGCGAGACCATGTTTTTTCAGATGTATATGAACATGTGCGAAATGATTGCGCCGGGTGGTTAGAGGTCAAAAATGGGTAAAGCGCCCTGCCGGCTGCTAGTTAACTTAATGCTGAACCAGCCACAGATACCCGTGAGCGTCTTTTGAATGGCCATCCAGTACGGGATAATCTGGATCAACACGACTGCAGGGAAAGGCGGAATACATACGCTGTTTGTTTGCCTCGAGACACGATAATAATTAAGCGCGAGGTAGCCATTGAGATCAAATACATATATGCTAGGTATGCCCACGATGATGGTTTATGTAATCAGCTGCGGGTCAATCACTGTTACGAGGAAGCAAGCTACCTCGTCTTCTCCGTACTCCGCACGTATCCCGCCCCGTGGCTGCACTCGAGCTGCAGATACAGTTTGTCCCTGGACTGCTTTCAAGTTAATGATCGCAACTCCTCTACCAGCATCAAGCTAATTTCAATGCGGGAGGATCCCGCCGACAGACCAGAAGATGGCGGACGATGCGTCAACAAATCCCCTTCCCAATGCTGTGTCCCGTCTGGTTTTCCCTCAAGGTCCCGGCTTCACACTCGAAGACTTCTCTAGCCGTGATTTCATCGTGAAGGAGTTTATTGAATCACTTTCCGAAAATGCAGTAAACACTCGGCGACCTACAGGAGCTTCAGGAAATGGAAGCCAGCCGTTTGACCCCAAACCGCTGATTCGGACGTTTGAGCATGCGCAGCGGCGACTAGGTGATATATCAGGCGACCTTGAGATCAGAGAAAATGAACTATCTGCTGCAGTCCGCAGGGCAGAGGCACAGCACACTCAGAATCTGAACACCCTAGGACGAAAATTAAGTCAAACCATCGAATCTTTCCAGCAACTCGATACGTCGCTCAATGGCGCAGGGTTATCCGGAGGAGAGCTTTCTGAGAGCACAGGCAACATGGCTGTCGAGACAGGACGTAAGCTTGAGGAATTAGATCGTCAAAGGCGTCGGGCGCTTGACGCACATTTTCTCCTCGAATGCTGGGATGGTGTGAGCAACAGAGGGGAGTTAACCCTTTTGGAGAATTTGAGGAGGTCAGGAACAGGTGAGGCCAAGGTTCGATCGGCACAGATTGCGCGTCAGTTGCTCAGAATCAGCCAGCGACTTGACACAGAAAGTTGGAGTGAAGTAGCGGGAAGACATAACGGGTCCTACGCAAATGGAACTATGGCAGATGAGTCTGGGAGCACAAAGGGCAATAGTATTCGGCCAAACACGCGAGAAGTTATCGAGAAGTTCTCCGAGACGCTAGAGAATGACTTGCTGAAGCAATTCGATGATTTCTACAGGAAAGCTAATTTTGAAGGCATGAAGGATTGTGCAACAGTACTTCGAGATTTCAACGGTGGTGCAAGTGTGATTGCTTTGTTCGTGAACCAACATCAGTTCTTTATTGACCGCAGCCAGCTGGTGACCGAAGAAGTCGGAGGGGATCCAGAAGCCTGGGAAATGCTTGCAGATCCCGACGCTGAACCGTCAAAAGTGGAGCCCAGTCTACAGTCACTCATTGATGAGGTAAAAGTTGTGGTGCAAGAAGAGTCCGCGATCATCAAAAGGGCTTTCCCGTACTACGAACAAGTACTCGGAAAGTTTCTGCAGCGAGTTTTCCAGCAGTCGATTCAACAAAGACTCGAGATGGTCTTGGATAAGGCGAACGGTGTTTCATCACTAGCGTTTCTACGTTCTCTACAAAGTTCTCGCAGTTATCTAAGCGCCTTAGTTGATGACTTGAAAGTTCATGGATTGACCGAACATCCCGACCCTATCTCGTCACAGACAGCCCTCATTCTCGATCAGCAACTGGAGGATTTGTTTGTGCCCTATTTTGTGGGTTCGTCTTACATAGAAAGAGAGAGAAGGAATTTGGAAGAATTATATACCTCCTTACAATTCAGGTTCACCACTTTCCACGCTCGCAGGAAGAAAGCAGTGACAACGTTTATGGCATCTCTCTCAAAATCAGGCACGGAGGTTCTTGTTTCCGCAAGAGATGCATATATTGCACGCCTTGAGTCCTCCGAGCTTCCCGCAACACAGAAGATGCTCTTACTCCGATTGGCAGGTCTGAGGGAAGCCACTGATCCCAGTAAACCTACAGACATCAAGCTTACAGAAGATGACGGTCTCCCCAACATTGCTCATGCAAAGAGAATGCTCAAATGGCTTGCCGAAGCAGTTGGTAGAGGCTTAGAGCTCAGCATGACTAGCGAGACGCCCAAGGATATGCTTGCTCTTCTGAGCCTTCTTCTCTCCATGATGGGAGAAGGCTATATTGAAGTTTGTTTAGACGCTGCTCTGGATGTAGCTGCATCCCAGGAATCAGGTAGAACTGAGCCTGATTTCGGGTATATACCGGCTATCCGGAACGCTATCAGTGTCGCCAACTTGATGGTCATGTGTATTAACACATTACTTATCCCTCTTGCCGCAGGCAGTATCACAATTCGTCGAGAAATGGAGAAAAAAACGAACCTGATCACTATACGAATTGAGGAGAAGATAAATTCCATAGAGCAGAAGGTCATTGATGCGACGTTAGCCTGGGTTAACAAACTTCTTTCTGGTCAGAAGAAAAATGACTTTCGACCTAAGGAGGGGGACAATGCAACTTGGTTAGAGAGGCTACAAACACCGGTTAGTCACTGCGTTATGCCTTTCCCGCAAGCTTGTTACCTCAAGTGCTCTCAAGACGTGTACTAATTGATCCCAGACATGTGCGTCAACTTGTACCTTCTTGGCTCGTGCGCATAACGTTCTCAAGGGCTCGCTACTACCTAGTGGCTCTAATCTCCGCCAGATGCTCACAGAGATTGTTGTTGGAACAAGAATTCTTCTCCTTGAACATTTCAAGCGGTTTGTTGTGAATGGGCCTGGAGGTCTCATTGTAACCAAGGATATGACACAGTATACGGATCTGTTAAAAAGCTGGGATATTGAGGAGCGGGTAAAGGGCCCGGGGGGTGCGCTAGATGTATTACTAGAAGTCGGAAACCTTTTCGTCATTGGCTCTGAAGCATTGCA